CACAATATGCCATCTGCAAGCTTGAGAACCAAGAAAACTGGTGGTGTAATTCAGTCCCAAGTGTGAAGGCCTGAGAACCAGACAAGCCAGTATACAGACTGGTATAACTCCCAGTCTGGGGCCAATGGCTTGAGAAGGGGAAGGGGTTGGGCACCACTGGTACAAGTTCCAGAGTCCAAAGGCCCATGAACCAGGAGTTCCAATGTCAGAAGGCAGGAGAAGATGGATATACCAGTTAAGAAAAAAAGAGACAATTTGTCCTTTCTCTGTCTTTTTGTTCTATTTGGGCCTTCAACAGACTGGATGGTAACTGTCCACATTGGTAAGAATAGACTTCTTTACTCAGTCTACTGACTCAAATGCTAATTGCTTCATGAACCCACTCACAGACATACCCAAAAATAATGTTTTACTGCCTACAGGCATCCCTTAGCTCAGTCAAGTTGACACATAAAATTAACCATCACGACATGGAGATTAAACAACACACTTTTAAATAACCAATGGGTCAAAGAAGAAATCACAAGGGAAATTAGAAAATATGTTGAGAAAAATGAAAATGAAAACACAACATACCAAAACTTATGGGATGAAGCAAAAGCAGTGCTAAGAGAATTTATATCATTAAATGTTTACATTAAAAAGAAGAAAGATCTCAGATCAACAACCTAACTTTACACCGCAGGAACTAGAAAAAGAACTAAGCCCCAAGTTAACAGAAGGAAGCAAATAACAAAGATCAAAGCTGAAACAAATGAAATGGAGACCAGAAAAACAATAGCAAAGACCAAGGAAACTAAGAGTTGTTTTTTTAACTTCAACAAAAATTGACAAATCATTAGCTAGATTAAGGGGAAAAAAGGAATGACTCAAAAAATGAAAATCAAAAATGAAAGGGGCTGTTACAACCAATACCACAGAAATAAAAAGGATTCTAAGTATACTATGAACAATTGCATGCCAACAAATTGTAAAACCTAGAAGAAATGGATAAATTCTAGAAATGGATAAATCAAAAAGAAAAGTCCAGGACTTGATGGCTTTACTGTAAATTCTACTATACATTAAAAGACGAATTAACACCAATCCTCCTCAAACTTGTACAAAAAATTGAAAAGGAAACAACATCCCAAACTCATTCTGTGAAGTCATCATTACTCTATTACCGACAATACTGATTCCATCTTTGGCCCTCCATCTTGTTCATGTTCACTTGGTGACCTCTCTTGGGGTGACATATTCCAGACCCCTTGGAGATTAATATACATACCTTAGAAAGCCTGCTAAGGTCAGGATAGCGGGGAGGCATGTTCTAGCCTCCCATGAATCTGTTAGCAATAACACAGTCTTTCTCTTACCTGACACACAGATGGTGCCACAGGATCTAATTAAAGGTTAGCTATCAATTAGGTGCATGCAAACCCTTTGAGGTGCATGTGAACCCTCTGATCTCACTGCACTGTCCTTCTTTGTGTCCCCTTGCTCTAATAAAATCTGTGGACTAAGGTCTGGATTTTGTGGAGAATAACTGTGCAGCTGCCATGGATCATCCTCTACCTGATCTCCCCCATCAGTAACTTACCCTTAATAAAACTCTGTATAAACTGTACAGAGTCACCTCCTTTGTTTTCCAGTCTCAAAGTGCCTTCTCAATTTAGGAATACTTTGATGTCCCTCCCCCACTCTCTTAGCACCCTAGTACCAAAGCCAGACAAAGACACTAAGGAATAGACCAATATCTCTGATGAATGTTGATACAAAATTCTTAACAAAATACTACTAAACCAAATTCAGCAGCATATTAAAAAAACTATACTCCAAGTAATTTATTTCTGAAATGCAAGGACAGTTCAACCTACAAAAATAAATTGACTTAATACCACATTAACAGAATAAGGGACAGAAACTATATATTTCTCAATTGATACAGAAAAAGCATTTGGCAAAACTCAATACCCATTCATGATAGAAACTCAATAAACTAAATCTAGAAGGAAACTACCTTGACATAAAAAAGACCCACACTAAAATTATTAAAATCCCACAGCTAACATCATAGTCAATAGTGAAAAACTGAAAGCTTTTCCTCTACAATCATGAACAAGACAAGGATGCCCTATTCTCTATTTCTTTTCAACACAGTACTGGAAGTCCCAGCCAGAGCAATTGGGAAATAAAATAAATAAAAGGCATCCAAATCAGAAGCAGACTCTTAACTACAGAGAAGAAACTGATGATTGCCAGAGGGGAGGTAGGTGGGAGGATGGGTAAAATAGGTGATGGGGATTAAGGAGTGTGTTTGCTGTGATGAGCACCGGGTGTTGTATGAAGTGTTGAATAACTGTATAGTATACCTGAAACTAATATTACATTATATGTTAACTAACTGGAATTTAAATAAAAACTTAAAAAAAATTTTTAGTGAATAACTTATAAAGAAAATTTTAAAAACAATTCTGTTTACAAGAGCATCAAGAAAAATAAAAATTTTAGGAATAAACCTAAGGAGGTGAAAGACTTATACACTGAAAAGTAGAAAACACTGCTGAAAGAAAATAAACACAGTACTAAGTGAAAAAGCATCCCTTTTGTTTATGGGTTGTAGGATTTATTTTTAAAATGTCCATACATCCCAAAGGAATCTACAGATTCAATGTAATCTTATCAAAATCCCAATGACATATTTTACAGAAACAGAAAAACCCATCCTAAAATTCATATGGAATCTCAAGAGACCCTGAAGAATTAAAGTAATTTTGAGAAAGAATAAAGCTTAAGGACTCACACTTCATTTCAAAACTTACTACACAAAGCTACAGTAATCAAAACAATATAGTACTGGCATAAAAACAGACATATAGAATGATGGAATAAAACAGTCTAGAAATAAACCCTTACATATATGGTCAAATGATTTTCAACAAGGGTGCTGGGTCCATTCAGTGGGGGGAAGGAAAATCTTTTCAACAAATGGTGCTTGGAAAACTGGATATCCATATTTTAAAAAATGAAGTTGGACCTTTAACTTGTACCATATATGAAAATTAACTCAAAATGTATCAAAGACCTAAATGTAAAACCTAAACTACAAAACTTTTAGGGAAAAAACAGGGAGAAAGTTTCATGACATTGGATTTGGCAATGGTTACCAAAAGTATAGGCAACAAAAGTAAAAATAAATCGGACTGCATCAAAATTTAAAACTTTTATTCATCAAAGGACACTATCAACAGAATAAAAAGGCAACCCATGAAATGGGAGAAAATACTTGAAAATCATATATCTGATAAGGGATTAATACCCAGAATATATAAAGTACTCCTAAAACTCAACAACAAAAATCAAACAACCTGATTCAAAAATGGGCAAATGGACTTGAATAGGTATTTCACCAATGAAGATAAATAAATGGTCAATAAGGACATGAAAATATGTTCAACATCACTGATAATTATGGAAATGCAAAATCAAAACTATAATGAGTTATCACCTCATATCCATTAGAATGGCTATAATAATAATAAAAAAAATACACCAAAATTACAAGTGTTGGCAAAGTTGTGGAAAAACTGGAGCACTGTTGGTAGGATTGTAAAATGGTGCAACCACAATGAAAACAACATGGTGGTTCATTAATTAAAAACAGTTGGGGCACCTGGCTGGCTCAGTCGGAGGAGCATGCGACTCTTGATCCGGGGGTTGTGAGTTTGAGCCCCACACTGGGTGTAGAGATTACTTAAATAAAACTTTACATTTAATTAAAGAAATTGCTTAATTAAGAAATTAAAAATAGAACTTACATATGATCCAGCAACCCCACTTATAGCTATATATCTAAAGGAATTATAATCAGGGTATCAAAAAGATATCTGCACAGCCATATTCATAACAGAATTATTCACGATGGCCAAAGCTGGAAGCAATCCAAATTTCCATGGATGGACAAATGGATAAACAAAATGTGGTATATACATACGGTGGAATATCATTCAGCCTTAAAAAGGAAGGAAATCCTAAAACATGGATAAACCATGAGGACATTATGCAGAGGGAAATATGCCAGTCACATAAATGCAAATACTATCTGATACCACTTAAATGAAGTATCCAAAGTAGTCAGATTTATAGAAACAAAAAGCAAAATGGTGGTTACCAGGGCCTAGAGGAAGGGAAGGAGAAATAAATAGGGAGTTGTTTAATGGGTGTACAGTGTCAATTTTACAAGCAGAAAAAAATTTTGGAGATGTATTGCACAATAAGATGAATATACTTAATACTACTGAACTGCACACTTAGAAAATAGTTAACATTGTAAAAAAAAAAATACACACACATAGTGTGGTCCTAAGAGTTTTTGGCCTTTAATAAAGTTTATGTTTTTTCAGATATATTTTTCACAACTTCAACATGTTTCACAATCTTTCTAAACAATGCCCTAAGCTGCCAATTTTAAAGTTTGCTCTGTACATCTGTATGATGTGGGAACAGCAAACTCTCTATACACTTTAAAATCCCAATTAAGATGAGTAAATATTGGAAAAGATACATTCCTATAAAAGATACTTTCCTTTTTTGCTTTCAAATTGTGTTCTATATGTGGGATGTAAAATAATTCACTTCTATTTTCCAATATAATAAAGTATTCCAGTAGTTAGTTAACAACAACAAAAAATATTTGATTAATAAAATGCTGGTTAAAAACACTATGAATGGGGAAGTTATAAATGAATTTTTAAAATGTGAATTTGAAAACATTAATTCATTCAATTATCAAATGTGAACTTGAAAACATTAATTACTCAGTTATCAAATTCCCCAGGTTGAGCTAAGTGTCAGAAGGAGAGAAGTCATATAGGGAGTATGACTACAAGATTTACACTATATAGTTAACAAATTTTTAAAAAGTTTCATTGGGATATGTGGAAGTTTTCCTGTAATCATAAAGGAGCTAGCAGAAATCTTATTTGATTTTGACTCATACCTCGATCATTTTTTAACAGAACTCCTGGGGCCTTTGGACAGAGGAGATATGCTAAATGAAGCTTTTGTTGGCCTATCTTTAGTTCCTCAAGGAGAAGACACATTTCCAGATAACCTCCCTCCCTTTTGTTCAATCCATAAACATATTATTCAACAAAGAACACTGAATGTCTCTTCTAATAGGTAAGATACGTTGAATTGAGAAAAGTGCTCCACAGAGTGTTTAGTATTAAACAATTTAAATATTCCCTGTTGAAATGCAAACTAATACTTCAGCAAGAATATTTCAAAATGTCAAAGAAAAAAATGTGCATTTTCTCATGGCGATGACTTTGCAGTAGTTTGGTCATGCAAGAGCAGGTATGATGGAGGAAGAATTCAATGTAAACAGAATACTGTTAGAATGAATGTTATTCCAGGCCAAGATGAACATGAAATTACTATAACATATCAAATTCTATTTTTATTCTGTTGTTAAATTTTAGAATTGTTAGATTATATTAAAATATTAATTTTTAGTATATTTAGTATGTTTAGTATATTTAGTTTGTAACTCATATGATTGTACTTATGCAACTTTGCCATTAGTTTCTGAAATCTGATAAATGATAATTTCACATATATCCAGCTGATTATATGGGTTATTGAGAAAATAAACAGGATAAATGTGAAATAAAAATACGAGACAAAGTAATATTATTTATAATGGTAATTATGTTAGTCACCATTATAATTTGCTCTGAAGCAAAGGTCAACAAACTTTTTGTGTAAAGCACCAGATATTAGGCTTTGTGGATCATACAGACTCTATCACAACACTCAACTCTGCCATTGTAGTATGAAAGCAGCCACAGACAATACATAAATAAATGAGAGTGGCTGTGTTACAATAAAACTTTATTTACAAAAACAGGCGGTGGGCAGGATCTGGCCCCCATTCTGCAGTTTACACACCTGCTCCTGAGGATCCCAACTATATGCAGTAATTGTGAAGAGGCCGTATTTTTTATATATATCATATGAAATATAGGTCATATATTTCATATCAATTATACATATATACTCATAATATCCTTGAGGAAAATGCCTCAAACTACATAGTTTAATTAATACTAAATAAAGGAGCAGAATTTCCAGGTATGGCAGAGTTTAGAGGTGAGTAAATCTTCTCCCCAGAAAACAATTATAAAACTGGACAAAAATTACCATTTCAGAGCTCTGGAAATCAAATAGGAGCAAACAAGAATTTGATAAGAATTATTCAGAAAAAATGCTGAACTTCTAGTAATAAAGGGGAAATCTGATATTCAGGGGCTGCTCCCATCCTTTCTTGACCCCCAAGCTAGTGCAGCCTTGTGGTTCTACTAGGGTAGGACAGGCTGTGAAAAACAACAGCTGACTTGATTTGGAGCTTAGAGTGGAAAAACCCTGCCCAGCAGCATTATCAATAAAGCAGCAAACTAACTGTCAGTAAAAGTAACAAATTTGATAGGAAATGAACAGGGAAAGCCATAGCTCTACTAGCCTGCTTAGGTCAAGTGACAGAACAGGAGACTAGCCAAAAATTTTTTAACAGGAAGATCTGGAATAAGAGAATCAGAGAGGGTCTAATTAAGCTCTCTACACATTCCTGATGGAGTTGTATGACCTCTTATTTTTTGGCTCCCTTTTATCTTGTGGGACCCTAAATTTTCCCCTTTTGCTTCTTTCTTCCTTCACACCCAACTGTCAGAAGGTGCCTCTCTCTTTCTGCCTTTTTTTCACCCACCCATCTCCCCACCACAGAAACTGTGCATTTAAAAAACTACCCCTTCACACTGCATGGTGTAGTTCATGCTCTAATCTACAAGAACACCAGGATGTGGAGATCATGCCCTGGGATTTGGCATTTTTTCCATTTTATTTACAATTGTCTGGAAGTTCTCTGTCAAGTCATGCTGAAGGTGGGGCTTTCATGTAGTTTCTTTTCTTTTATTATGTTCTATATCATTTATAGAGGAAGTACTGAGAAGTGCAAAGGAAGGCAGCCAGTATTGTGTTCAACTAACTGGAAGTCCTACTTCTTCATTTACTTTTTTAAAAATGATTTTACTGGGGTATAATTTATATGCACCATAAAATCTGCCCCCTGTAAGTATACAATTCAATGATGTTTGCTAAATTTATAAAGTTATGCAACTACCACCAGAGTGGTTTTAGAACATTTCCATTGCCACAAAGTTCCCTTGTGCCAACTTACAGTGCATTCCCACTCCTACCTCCAGCCTGAGCCACTCACTGGTCTGCTTTCTGCCTCTAGAGGAACTTCATATAAATGAAATCCTATAGTCTGGAAACTTCATATAAATGAATTCATACAATATGTTGTCTTTTGTGTCAGGCTTCTTTCACTTAGCATTATGGTTTCTGAGGTTCATACATGTTGTAGCATGTAGTTTATTCCTTTTTCGTTTCTGAATAGTATTCCATTGTATGAATATACCACATTTTGTTTATCTACTCACCAGCTGCTGGATATTTTTAATTACTTCCAGATTTGGGCTATTATGAATAATGTTGTTATAAATATTCACATATAAGTCTTCAAGGGGACATGTTTTCAATTCCCATGGGTAATATCTAGGAGTTGAATTTCTGGATCATATTTTAAGTTTATATTTATCTTGTTAGTTTTTAGAAACTACCAAATTGTTTTTCCAAAGTGACTATAACATTTTACATACCCATCAGCAATGTACAAGGGTTCCAGTTTCTCTATATCCTCACCTGTGGTTGGTATTGTCAGTCTTTTTGATTATAATCATTCTACTGGGTATAAAGTAGTATCTCATTATGATTTTAATTTGCATTTCCCTAATGACAAATGATGTTGAGCATTTTTATGTGATTATTAGCCATTAGTATATCTTCTTTGGTGAAATATCTATTCAAAACTCTGTCCATTTTTAAAATAATTTCTCTTATTATTGAATTATAAGACCTCTTTACATATTCTTAATTGTAATCAGATACATGATTGGCAAATATTTTCTCCCAGTCTGTGGCTTGCCCTTTCATTTCCCTAATCGTGTCTTTAGAAGTGCAAAAGTTTCAAATTTGGTAAAACCCAGTGTAGTTATGGTTTCTTTTATTGATTATGCTTTCGTTTTGTATAGAAGAAATTTTTTTCTAACTTAAAATCACAAAATTTTCTCTTATGTTTTCTTCTGGAAATGTTATAGCTTTAGCTTTTACACTCAAGTCCATGTTGAGTTCATTTTTATGTATGATGTGATATAAAGTGTCTAAGTTCATTATTTTGTACATGAAAATCCAGTTGCCTTTATACATTTGTCAAAAATCAGTTGATCATAGGTGTAAAGATTTATTTCTGGACTTGGCACTCTGTTCCATTGGTCTCTATATCTACTTTTACACAAACAAGTGCCAGACTTAGCTATACTGAGGGCTCCATGAACCAGAATCTCCCAAAATACATTTCAATACCACAAAAATAAACAGGAAATAGATGAACAGTTCTAGACAGTTACTTCAAAAAAACAGAAAATGAAACCAACACATACCAATTGAGAAAAATTCTCACCCCCCCCCCAAAACAACCATGAAATAGAAGAAAACTACAACACTCCATGCAAAATTAAATATATTCAAACAAGCAGCTGGGTACATAGAAATCCACTCTGAATTAGAAGGACAAAAACTAAGAGGAAGAGCTGGGGGTGGGAACGGAGAAGTTCATTGCATTCAAGAAAGAAAAGAAAGAAAAATATCTTAAAATTGAAATATTACAAGGCACCCAAATGGGAATAAATTCAAATTGAAATTTAATAAGAGGCACTGAAAATGGCAGAAAACAAGACAATGAAAAGGAGATAAAGAAAAAAAAAGACAAGGGAGAAAGTAATGGAAAGAGAAATAAGGCAAAGAAGTAAGAGCATTTGTACAATTTGATTCACTGGAAACAGAATTAATATTTAAAACTATAATCCAGGGAAATGTTTCAGAAATAAATATTTTTTTTAAAAGATTTGGATTTACATATCAAAAGATTATACCAAGAGGCGCCTGGGTGGTGGCTGTTGAGCCTTCAGCTCAGGTCATGATCCCAGGGTCCTGGGATTGAGCCCCACATCAGGCTCCCTGCTCAGCAGGGAGTCTGCTTCTCCCTCTCCCCTCCCTCCCACTCATGCTCTCTCTCTTTCAAATAAATAAAATCTTAAAAAAAAAATTATACCAAGTGCCTGAGAAAAATTATTATAAAAATCAGTTCAAAGACATATCTTAACAAAACTCTTAGATTTCAAAGATTAGTTTTAAAAATCTGCAAGGTCTCCTGGTAGAAAGATCAAATAACTTGCAAATGCAGAAGAATTAAACAAGCATCACCCTTTTCAAAAATAAAATACAAGGTAAGACAAAAGTAGAGCAGCGATTTTTAAAAACTCAATGAAAAGAAGTGTAAACTAATGATTTTATAGCTATCCAAGCTCTCTTTCAAGTATCAAGGCTAAAGAGAAATAGTTTTCATGAACCCTTCTTGAGGAACATACTAAAGGAAGAGCTTCATCCAACCATGAGATAACTGGAAAAACTTCAGCAAAAGAACTAATTCTGAACACTTTAATACATATAAATGTAGACAGAAGACCAAAAAACGGGCGCCTGGGTGGCTCAGTCAATTGAGCTACAGACTTTTGGTTTTGGCTTAAGTCATAACCTCAGGGTCCTGGGATCAAGCCCCGCCATGGGCTCTGCAGTGGGTATGGAGTCTGCTTAAGGATTTTCTCTCTCCCCTCCCCCTACTCACGCATACATCTGCGCATGCTCTTTCTCAAACAAATAAATAAATCCTAAAAAAAAAAAAAAAAAGACCAAAACAGGAGAGTGGAGAGATGAATGTGGAAGACTCTTAAATAGAAATGATACAACTGAAAAAATGGGAGGGGAACAAAGAGTGAAAGAGAAAAGTAGAATAAGCTATGATTGTTGTATAGACATAGGTGGGAGTTAAAAGACAATAATAAACACTGATACATCAGATAATGAAAGGTTAACTAAGAAGAGACTAAGGGCATTAGAAAAAACATCAGTACAAAGGTAACCACTAAAACTAAGTACAAACCTTCCCAAAAAAATACACCCACTTAAGAAATATAAGAATCACACCCACTTAAGAAATGTAA